GTCCTGCCCTCGCTCGGAGCTCCGACCCCAACGGCGTTACCCCAGCCCTCACCTGGCCACCCCTGCGAGAGCAGCACCGCGTCCTGGCTCCCGTTCTTTCCTTAATAAAAGGTGTCTCATCCATTCGTTCTGCTATTAGCAGTCGCTCTGACTGGGTTTTCCCAAAAGGGAGGGAAAGGGGCTGGTCTGAAGGCTGGGGCTGAAGGCACGGTCACACAGCGGGTTTCAGGGAGGGGGATCGTGGTTCCAGACAAGACGGTGACCTTGGACTCGCGAGCCACCCCAAAAGTGCAATTGCTCTCCGTCCCACAGCGGCTGTTATCAGCGAATGGGTTCTCGTGCTCCTGGTTTTTAACGGGACAGTTTTTCTTGGTGTGTAGGAAAATGACCCCGAGCCGTGCAGAAACGCATTGAAAACTCCTCTGAAACAAGCAGCTACCTCACCTTCGGTACTGACGGAGATACAGCCTGACTGTCAGCCTCTCACCACACCCCCAAAACCTAAGGAAACCCTTCCAGCAGAGCCATGGACGCCAACTTCAAACCTGAAAATTCTGATTAGCGCAGCTAGTCCTGAGATTAGGAGCAGAGAGCAGAGGAGGGAACTGTCAAACAACACAAGTGAGGTCCTACAGGCAAAACATTGTTTGCAGGTATGTCTTAAAGGTATCTTCTTGATTTACTTTTTTATAAGCAAAGTTAGCCAAAGGCTGTTTATTCAGCTAAGAAGTTATACATTAACATACTACAACTTTTTTTTTTTTAAGTTTTGATTTTACCCAATGTAGGTAAAGATATTGTTTAGTTACACACAACAGGTAATGTTTTGCTGTTTTTATTTCACAGCCGTTGAGCACGGAGCCTTTGGCAGTGCTCACAGTGAAGCTGTTAAGTATCTGTGTTTATTGTCAAAAATCTCAAATTCTCTTCTTCTTGTTCCCATGTAGGAGCATTTATTGGGAGATGAATATGAAAAATCTCAACCCAGTCGCAAAGAGAAAAGTCTAGGATTACTGTGCCATAAATTCTTAGCTCGATATCCTGATTACCCCAGCACTGCAGAGAGTAATTACATTTGCCTTGATGAAGTAGCTGAAGAGCTTAGTAAGTTGGTGTATATGCTGTTATATTTTTCTTCACTCTAATGTGCCAATAACCTCCTGTTTGTGTTAGTAAATTTTTGCTCCATCAAATTTTGAATGCTTACTCTGTACTCCCAAACTCATTTAAACCCAGGTTTAAACTCTTCATTCGCAGAGCAATTCTATTACAAAGCTAACGTTTCTTCAGTGAACTGAGTTGAGAAACTCTGAATTTTGCTTAATATTAAACATCTAAATTGTTGCTGATCCCACAAATAACCAGTTGCAGTTTTTTGGATCAAGAGATGAAGTCTAAGATTAATGGTTGGATTTTGTGGCAGGAGCTAGCGTTTCTCGAGCTGAACCCACAACTTCCTGTCCAGTCATGACATCAAAGCAAGAAACTACTTTCTGCTCTCTATAATTTAACTTTCTTCATTTATATCACACCAATGATCTACCAAGAGTCTAAGTTGCTAACATGAAGCTGAAGCCTCTTTCTTCAAAAAACGAAATTTCTTTTCTTTTCCAGAGGTTGAACGTAGGCGCATATATGACATTGTGAACGTGCTAGAGAGCCTGCACATGGTGAGACGCCTTGCCAAAAACAGATACGTTTGGCATGGGCGACATCATCTCTCCAAAACCCTGCAGGCTTTGAAAAAAGTTGGAGAAGAGAATAAATACACACAACAAATTCAGATGATCAAGAAGAGAGAGTACGAGCATGAATTTCATCTCGATGGCGAAAGAAATGAAGAAATGGCAAGACCTTTTGGCATAAATGAGCATTCAGAAATGACTTTTGTCGAGCTCCCAGGAATGGAATTTCGTGCTGGTAATAATTCTCTATAATGCCAAGAATAATATGTGTTGATAATGATAAATATCTAGGAACTTGGAAGAAACATTTCTTGAACTGCTTTTCTGAAATGCTACTGCCTGAAAGGCACCAACTGTTTGTGGTGAGAAAAGGCCTTCTGCGCTCTTTCAGTTCTCTTATTCGATTCTCGCACGTGTATTTTGTTTTTACAGTGCCAGAACAAAGCAGGGGCATCAGGTGAAAGTATACCCATATATATAAAACATATATACCCCATATATATAAAACATACCCAATATACAGTCCGATTTACAGGCTGGGTTACCATTGGATGTTATAGAAGCCAAAAGTATTAATTACTCTATTTTTTAATTTAGGCTTGATTCATGGAAGAAATGTTAACTAAGGATTGTTAATTATGTTGTATGACTTGTAGTCATGCATCTTTAAGAGTATGAATTGTCAGAAAATAGGAATCATACAGGGGGAAACACTGCACTCTACCTTCGTAGTTAAACTCGGTATCCACCAAATTATCTGATTCTTGCCACGCAGAGACACAATTCTGGAGTCCACGTCAGCCCTGCCTAGTTGCTCTGTTGTTCTTACAGTAATTATTGCTGACAGATTTCTTCAGCTTTTAAAAAATGTTTGTAGCTGGCGTGTCGCTTAATGCTTCAATCCTCTCTCCTGTCTGCTGCAGCATCCGTAAATAGCAAGAAAGACAAGTCCTTAAGAGTGATGAGTCAGAAATTTGTGATGCTGTTTCTTGTATCGACTCCTCAAATAGTGAGCCTTGAAGTTGCTGCTAAAATCTTGATTGGAGAAGACCAGCTGGGAGACGTAGATAAAAGCAAGTTTAAAAGTAAGTAAAATGCTGCTGTTGCTATCTGCTTTTTCATCTTAGTCTACACAGAATTATCAAGCATAAGCTAAAAGAACTATTCTGGTACTAGTTTACATAGTGTAAAATGTCATCATCTTTTTCCTGCCATCAATATATTCGAGCCTCCAAAAACTCACTCAGCACCCTGTGCGGTTTTTACACTTGACCATAGTCATTGATGCATGACATAGTGGCAGTTAAGGGAAAGACAAGTCCATTAAATCCTCTCTCCTGAAGTAGTGTCAGACGGCTGCTTATTGGTAACAATTTCTTTCTCAAGCCGTCTGTCCAAGATTTCAGCCTCATTTCGTCAAAGACGCCCCAGAATCATGCAAATTTGTGTTCTAGTCATATAACTTACGTGTTGGAAATCTACAGAAATTCTGTAAAAGTCTTATTAATAAAAAACACATGAGGGGAAGTGAAACCTGGTGCTGCAACTGCCAATTATTTCTTCATTCTTTTACCCCTCTCTCAGTTCTCTGCACATTTCCTTCTCTTCCTCTCCATTCAGATGAAAAGGTACTTCTAGGTCTAGGCCCATATACCTGTAATAACAAAAAACATGCCTGCTCTTCAGGGATCACGAATTAATCGTGGGTTTCATTGAAAATCACACCCTTCCTTGATTCGCAGACAGGTGCCATTGCTATTTTTGTGGAATTGTATCTAGGCAGAAGAAAAACTGATCCTCACCAGTTTCAGTTTGTAATTTCCTTTCCACTCAGTCAGGCAACACAGAGAGTGTGGCTGGGTGGTTATTCTTTCTTCTTCCTCTGTAATGTCCTGCATTCAAAAAAAAGCATTTTCAGGGCATCCCATCCAAGTGTCTGTACTTTGAGGTATCACGGGTTTTACCAAGTGCTTGGATAAGAAGCATTTTCCTGCTAGACTTGAAATTTTCTGTAGCCCAAGCACACTCACTTTGCGGTCCAGAAGTCACTTGTAATTTGACTGCTGCCCAAAACTTTTCCCTAATTAATCAACCTGGAAACAGTTAAGAACACTCAGGATGATTATCCTGTTGGATTTTAGCGTGTCTCCTCTCTCTGCTTCCCATATTTGCAGTCTCATGTACATACCTGCTTTTTAAGCTACTTAATTTCACTACACAATCAGTATAGGTTTGGTTATTGCATGGAATCTATCTTGTTTCGAAAATGCTTTTTTCTTCTACATTTAGCATAATATACTTTGCAGTATTTTCTTTTCTAGATCTGTATGTCATTCTATTTTACATATGAAGTTTATATTGTGATACGTAATTTCATAGTAGAAATACCTGTCCCACAAGATTGTTCCCATAAAAAAAATTTATAAAGGCTTTTCCTTCTAGCTGCTAAAAGGGCACTATAACGTTTTTCACCTGCTGCATGTTAACTTGCTATACTTTACATTTATTTCAGCCAAAATTAGGAGACTTTATGACATAGCAAATGTTCTCAGTAGTCTTGAGCTTATCAAGAAAGTTCACATTACAGAGGAGAGAGGCAGAAAACCAGCATTCAAATGGACAGGACCTGAGGTCTTGCCGAATATTCAGGGTACAGGTATGTGTCATTTCCTTTTCTTCTGCTGATGATTTCGATTGTTTTCTTTGTTTTCCCTGCTAGATTTTTCTTTGACCAAAAGACAGTAAGCTAAGCAGAAAGTCTTTACTAGTCACATCACTGCCCTCGGTCCTTGACAGCAAAGCACACCTGTATGTGTTTCCCCAAGGTGGATGTACTCACACAGAGACTCCTGCACATTTCCATTTTTGCTGTCTGTACTACTTCAACAATTGCAAGCCAGGCTCAAATACCTCCTTCTAATTACTATATTTGCATATAGGAATATATTTACTCTTTGGGTTTTTTCCTGCTTTTCAGATACAAAACTTGAAACAACTTCTACAACCTGTTCCCCACCTATTTCAGAATCCATCACTTCCAAAGAGCCGTGTTCAAAAAACCTTTTTCCTTCAAGAGGAAAGCAAAACTTTACTCGGCATCCTTCTCTCATAAAGTTAGTTAAAAGCATAGAAAATGACAGAAGAAAGATACAGTCTGCTCCGACCAGTCCAGTTAAAATAAGTGCAAGTAAGTAGCTGAAAAATATCTTGCTGTATCTTTTATAAGTATTTTTCTAACTCAGATGTAGTCTTGCATTAAATATTCAGGCTTGCCGTTGTTGCAGATGTGTGGGGATGCCTTCCTACGACAAACATGTCTTAAGTGTCAGAAACAGATAAAATGAGGAAAGCACACACTGCCTCTAAACGACTGATAGTGAAAGCAAAGCTAAAATGATCCGTGTTCAGCTCTGCACTTCGTAGCAGCTCTTACCAGTTTGTGGGACCAAATCCAGTCACACCTCCCGCAGTTGCAACAAAGTAACCGTTATTCATTGAGAGCTGGACCAAGTTCCACGGGCTGTAGGGAACTGGACCCTCCTCTTTCACACCAGGAGTGGCATATTACTGTTCTGGGTTTAAGAAGAATACTAAATTCCTTTTTACATATCGCTATATTGACTTTGTGTGATGCCTTACTGGCTACAAACTCCTAGTCGCATACTATAACTGATTCTCTGGATATTGGATCTCTCTCTATGAGCTGCTCTAACCCTGTTTTTTTGTGGAAACTGCTTTAGATCTTACTGTCTACACAGTTCTGTATTCTGTAAAATTACCAGAAAATTACCCATCAATGTTCATGTTCTTGTTAGGTAGCCTTTTTGGAGGGGAAGAGAAAAAAAAAAAAAGGAGCCGAGGCTTTAAAGTTTGTTTGATGTAAGCTACCATCCAACTGATCAAGTCTAGAGCTGCAGTTTGAGGAGAGCAGGAAGTTTTAGTGTCTTCTCATTAACTGTGTACGCCACATTAAAAGGCAGTTTCCGCCAGACAAAATTTAACTTACGCGTTTGACGTACTAACAGCTTTGGTTTGTTTTCCCACTCCAACCAGGCACTGATCAAAATTTATCAGCCTTCCCCAGTCAAACGGCTCAGGTTCCAGCAGTCACTAAACATCAGCTAGAAGAACAATCAAAGTAAGTTTGCACAAGTATTAAAGCGAGAAGCTTTATTTTGTCTCTGGCCATTTAGTTAAAGCCCTGCTCAGTCTGAGTTGGGCAATACTCTGCAAAAAGCAGTAACCCCTGATACTGCAGGCTATTTTTTTCACTTATTTTCTCTTTAGTAGATTGAGAAGTATGAGTTTATGTTAAGCCCTTGTACTGCAGAAAAGAATTTGTCAGGGCATTTCTTTCTGCACAAAAGTATTAATTTATGTTTTGGCTTGTTTGTTTGTTTTGTTGGGGTGGGGTTTTTTTTAGGAAACCGAAAGAGCTGAAAACGAAATTGTCAGGATCAGCTTTAGAATCTAATGTGTCCTTGCTCGAGATCACTCCAAAGCCCGAAACTCCTCGTGCTGCAGCAGCGTCCCAGCAACCGCTGGCTGTGAGTCCTCCGAGCCACGGCTCCATCTCGCCAGTAATCCTACCTCACGCTCCTTCGGGTGTTTCCTACGCGATATATCTGCATCCTTCCCAAGCCCAAACTGCGACAACGTACAGCCCAAATTTCATGTTGCAGCCTCTGCCGTGTGCTAACGTAACTGGAATTGAGAGTATTCATTCAAAAGCATTAAATACAATAACCACTGAGGAAGGGGACAATCAGACAGCTACAGGTGATCTGACAAAATCCTTGACAGCTAAAGAAAGGCCGCCTAAAAACTCAGAAACTTCAACACAGAAGTGCCTTAAAAGACCACAAGCATTACAAGAGAATAATTTCATTAAAAGGCGTAGAAGCGATGAGGAAAGCCTTCATACTTCTCTGGTAAGTTAAATTGTTTTTAAACGTAATTTTATAGCTTGGTGATGCCACCCACTCATTTTCTGAGTGCTTTAGGAGCCCACCCAATGTTGTCAAAGTTGTAAATGATTTGTAAAAGAGCTGGCCAGGGGAATGATCTTGTAACCACTGAAGCCTGTAGCTTACTTTAAGAGCATTTGTGGTGTGCGTAGGCATTTTAAATAACATTACACTTGAGAGGACGATGCTCATTTGTTGTGCTTGCTGATGTTTGAGGGGCTGGGTTTTTGTTTGTTTACATGTATTTTTATAGATAGATAAAATATCACCCAGGCTTGCTAGTATTTGCAAAGCATCAGGCAGAATATACAGTATACAGCGTAACAGCTATCTCTGAAAAGCTGTGTTCTTCTCCTTGTTCCTCTCCCTTCCCCCCCCCAACTATTTATTTCCTGGAAGCTGTGTCAGAGCATACAGGTGTTAGTCAAAATAAAACAGCTCCCAAACCATTATTCCAGGACTTACCTATATATACAGTGATTCCAGAGTGGTTCAGGTTGCTCATCTCTATACAGTGGCTGGCATTCGTTGTTGGCTTTACAGGGGTTTGGAGGGAAACTGGACACATTAAAGTCACTGGACAGGGAATGCCCTAAAATCCGATTTCTATCCAGTGTTAATGTCGGATTGCTGTAGGTACGGTCATACAGCACATGAAGAGATTCAGAGGGTCAGATATGCTTGATGCCTACGAAGAAACTAGGTCTGAATTGCTTTCTGCTCCTCAGCCGCTCGGTGTTTCAGTGTCTCTGAATTATTAGGCTGCTTTAAATTGTGCTTGCCCGCAGAGTCATGAAATGTGACAGTGTGTCGTGTCAAATCTCCACTAGCTGTAAGGGAACAAGAGGGGATAACGTGGAACTAGTTGTCTTACTGACTAGAAATTTTTTATAATACAAACTTGGGAATCAGGAGAAAGGAGAAAGCTTGCTTTCTTTATTTTTAAAATATATAAGGATCATTGAAAATGTTACATCTTAAAATGCTTGCCTTTGTTCTTCTATGTACTTTTTAAAAGGGAGAATCCATTAAAAATGAACGACCACCTTCCAAGAGCTCACAGATTAATCACAAAATGGACAATTTCCAGGAAGAAACACAGAACAAACCCGAAATATTAGATGGAAACCTGGCAAGTGGCTACGACCAGTGTAAAAGGGAGGATATTCCAGATGCTGACAAAATCAAAACTAAACAAGACGTACCTGTAGCATTTGCCATTCC